TTTAAAAAGTTAAATGAAGAATAAATGCAAATATAAAAGCTGACTTTGCCCTGTATGTATGATGACTTCAGTGTGCAAGATACAGTTTTAATAACTGTAAAAACTACAAAGTTCCCCTAGCATTTGTTAGGCCATTCCTTGTAATTGATTTCAGCTATGTACATGGATGAGCTTAGACTGAAATGCTAGATATATGTATTGGCTTCAGTGTATGATCCCTCATTGTCAAGCTATGGAATTAAAATCCTGTATATAACTGGTAATCAGAAGGAGAAAAAAAAAAAAGATGTGGGCTTTCTCTTTTTTTTCTTTTTTTCTTTTTTTTTTGAGATGTTTTTGCTATAGGGTGTGCACGCTTGCCAGAAAGACAGAGAGACAGAAAGCAAGAAATCACCCCCCAGGGGGGATGGCCACGCCGCAATCCCTTCTCCTCCATTCTCCTCTCAGGATATTGGACACGCACACACACGTGCCTGGCGTGAGTTTAAGCCACCGTGTCCGGGACTCGAACCGTGGTCAACTACATGGGAGTCCAGTGACATAGCCACTACGCTAACTGCTGGTCCCAAAGTGTGGGCTTTCTATTCCATAGTTTTTGCCTCACTGAATTTAAGTTATGAGTCATTTGTTGTATTTGTTGCAAGTATTTTTTCCCCGGTTGGATCACTAAGTCTATTACCTTGAGAGACAGTGATCTGGGAGTTGCTGGAAGAGGAGCAAATGTCTTCTTGGGGAGACATGAGTGCTGTATCCCTGAGGACAGCCCTCCTGAGCTAGACCTATCCCCACAGAGTCCAGCCTCCTGCTGCTACAAGAGAACCCGTGTCTGGTAGAACTGTTGGCCCAGGTGCTGAAGCTCCAGGATGTGAGTTCCAGGGTCCTCTCCTTTGTACTCCGCCTTGCAGGGCTGTTTGCGGCCCAGGAACACTGCTTCCAGTATCTTCAGGTGAGCCTGGGTCCTCCCACCTGAATGTCCCACCGAGTGTTGGGGTGATTTCTCCTCCTGCAGATATGTAAAGCATTTTTAGCCACCATCATCCCTGAGTCTCAGAAACTTGCCTCACTCCTGGTCTTAACTAATACTTCAAGTATATTATTCCTAAATATAATCAGGAATGAGAGTGGGGCTATGGAGTGAATTTTTTGGAATAAGATGGAACTGGACTCTGAGCTCTGATCCACTGTAGGATTTTGTTCAAGTTCCTGAGCTTCAGTTTCTTCCTACAACGGAGATAAGAATTGTACCTATGTCATAGGGTTGTTGTGAGGATTAAGCGGGGCTGCAAATTATGTACCCTCAGGCACTCAGTCCAGTAAGAAATTAATAACTACTGAGAATTTCTACATAGCAACAAAGCATGACGCTTGGAGAGCTCCTTAGAGCCGTGTGTTAATGGCTTTGAGCACCCCACATGGGCACAGCTGAGGTTGTTAGGTGGCACTGTGTGAGCTTCCTTGGCCCATCTGCCAATCCAAAGTGATGCTTCTCTTGGCCCCTTATAGGCCCTCACCAAGTTGCATGAATGCACATATATATCTCTGGTCTCCTGTGTCAGGAGCCCTGGGAAGTGTGCTGTGTGGGAGTTGCTTAGAGGGAGAGCAGTAGTGGGGTAGGACATGTCGGTTAGGTTGTCATTCAGGGATTCCCCCCACCTCAGCAATTGCAGATTCTAGGAGCCCAGCCAAGCAGCATCTTGCTGTGAGCAGCCTTTTCAAGATGTTCCAGGTATTTTTGCTGGTATGAGATGTCCTATAGGGCCTGACTTTGTGCTTACTGCCCTTACTAAGAACATGCATCCATGCATACACTTGGCAATTTTAAGGAACTTCTGAATCTGTATAGTTTCTGGCTATCTTAAGAGCCCTGGCCAATAAACAGGTCCAAAGTGTTCCTCTCCATCTGCTAGATGAGGAAACAATGAAGGCTCAATACAAGAATCCCACAGAAGTTATGCAACTCACATGAGGCCCTAAGTGGTCTTAAATATTCCAATGGGCTTTGATACCACCTGGTTTTCTGAGAGTGAATGTTCAAGCACAAGTAAATAACTCTTCCTAGCCTCATTGATTTCCCAGGGACTTCTTTATCTCCTCTTTTCTCAAGTCTGGCTAGGGCTTTGACTATTACAAGACTCCTGATTACCCTACAGTCTCTGGCAGTTGGTCCCCTGTTGCAGGGACAGGGGACATCACCCATTGTAAGGGCAGAAGCTGCTCTCTTCCTCCCAGACCTGCAGCAGTGGGCTGGCCTCATTTCCTTTCCACCCACTCTCTGCACAGACTCCTGGTGGTCTGCAGTTGCTCCTCTTCACTGGCCTATCTGCAATGTGCATTTTCTGGAGAAGGGACATGCAGACAGGCCACTTGAGGCAGAGGGTGAGCCTTCACACTCCCCTGTGGCCATGAGGGCCAAGGGTGTAACTCCCCCCAGGGGAGTTGGCCACACGGCAGTCCCTTCTCCTCCATTCTTCTCTTGAGATCTTGGGCACACATGCACAGTGTGAGTTTTAAGCCATTGAGTTTGGGATTCAAACTATCGACTATGTGGGTATCCAGCGATGTAACCTTTATACCATCTGCTTGTCTTTTAAAGTCAGGATGGGGGACACCTGGAACAGGAGGGGGTGTGCTGGAAGACCTGGGATGCATACCCAGGAGCTCAGAAAGTTATAGAGGGTGGAATGTTGGAGCTTCTTGAGCCCAGAAAAGTCATGATCAGGAGAGGGCCTTTCAGGGTGGAGCTGGTGGTGCTGTCTTGCAAGCAAGATTTCTCCAATGGACTATAATGGGAATGATAGACCTTTATTTAAAATCTGCCCTTCCTTCTGGTCCCTCGAAGGCAGAGTTAGCAGCACCATGGCCCCAGGTTTCCAGTGCAGGGAGCCATGATATTGCCTCCTGGAAACAGCTGTTGGGGCTCTTTTCTCTGATTGGCAGCTGGTGTGAAAGCACCCCAGGAAAGTACCTTGAGCAACCCTGAAAACATCTCCAGTCTGCCCCCTTTCCCTGAAAACTGTCCAGTCTCCACTTCTTTCTTTGCTTTCCAGCAGGGGGAGTTGCTACTGGGGCTCTTTGGGGAGGCAGGACCCTTCGGCCAAGCAGCATGGACTGTCCCTACTGTGCGTAGTGGCTGGATCCAGGGCCTACACTCCCTGACACAGCACCCCAGCGCCCTGGACTTCCTAGAAGACTGTGGTGAGTGCCCCCCCCATCTCATCCACCTGCAGGACCTCAGTATGCCCCGGGCTGTGTTGCCCTCAGAGCTGCATCTACTGAGGCTGGCCTCAACTGGGTGCAGTGGCCATGCCATTGCAGGGCTGTGGTGATGGCAGCAGTGTTAGTGTCCTTTGACTTACAGCTCAGACTGAGGCACTGGGGAGGCTTGATGAGTCACTTAGAGGTTAGTTGCCAGGGGCTGATCTTTGATTAAAGTTGTTCTCTGCATCCTCCCACCCCCAACTCTATTCCACTTGACCCCTTTTTTCCTCCCCCCCCCTCTTGTCTTCTGCCCAGGTGCCATCGACAGGGTCTTCTCCCTGCAGGGAGATTCCAGCCTGTTTGTGGCCTCAGCAGCCAGTCAGCTCCTGGTGCACATCCTGGCGCTATCCATGCGAGGAGGAGCTGAGGGATACCCCCGCCACCAGAATGGCGACTGGCCTTTGTGTGCCCAGAAGATCATAAATCACGTGGAAGAATCCTTGTGCTCCTTAGCTACCTCGCAGGTCACTCAGGCCCTCAACGTCCTGACCACCACATTCGGGCGCTGCCATAGCTCCTGGACAGACGCTCTCTGGGTGCGGCTGCATCCCCTCGTGGCCCGTCTGCTTGAGAGAGAACCCATCCCCGCTGCACACTCTCTCGTGGATCTCCTCCTCAGCGTAGCCCGGTCAGGTTCCTGGATGAGCTGGGGGTGCCCAGGGCTGGGGAGGTTTTGTTCTTCAAGCAAAGGGTACTGTTACTCCTGGGCGTATGACATTGGCAGCCAGAGATGGAGACGGCCCTGCGAGAATGCTGCCTTGAGTGAAGGGACCCTAGGGTGGACTCCAAGCCCCCACCCCTGGGGAGGGCTCTGTGTGGGGTCATGTGCCTCCAGACAGGGGCTGTGCAGTCCTAGCCGGACACTGAGGGGGTTTTGAGGGGCTGGGAGGAATGGAGGAATGACTTTCTGTCTTCTGGTCCTCCTGCAGCTCTCCTGTTGTCTGTTCTGAAGAGGGCAGCCTGTGGGAGACAGCAGCCCGGACTCTGAACCGCCTGAGCCAGCCACAAGCAGGGCCCCTGATTCTAGGCCTTCTGAAGCTCCAGCAGTGGTATGGATGGGGCCCATTCGGTGCCAAGGAGGGGTGCTGGGATTAGGGCAGGCTGAGAGGTTGAGAGCATGGCCCCGTGGTCGGGTGTTAGGGAAGCCAGGTGGGACTCTCGATTCTGGAGAGCAGTCAGGGGCGACCACCCAGAGGCATGCCCAGCAATGCACAGGTTAGGGTGCCAAGGCACTGATGCAGACTGGCAGCTTCCATACTTTCTTAAGGGACAGAATGATTGTTTCATATCAAAGCTTTAAGGGGTTCTCAGATATGAAATAGATCCACAGCCCTGCTCTGCTGCATGGGGATGAGTTCGTACACAGGACCTGTTTTCTGGGCTGCCCTTGATGCTCTCTCTGGCAGCCTTTGTCAGATCCTGGACCTCCATTGTGTCCACACCACTGGGGTGGGGCCAGAGGCCACGAATCTGCAGAGCAGGGGTTCAGGGAGGTAGAAAGGAATACTACTAGCTCAGGCTAAAGGCAGAAGGGACCTCAAGGCTAGCTCTGAGCTACAGAGTCTTGGATTTTTGGGACAGAGTTCAAAGGGGAGGCAGGCATACTGGATGGCAGTGTAGCCTCCTAGCCCAGGCCCCTGCATAAGGCAGGGCCATCCTGCAGACTGTATGGAAGGATGCCAACTGAGCAGAGGATGAGGCCTACCTGGGGCGCCTGCTGGGGCGCTGGGATTCCCTGTACCTGTGGCCTTCTGGGTGGATATGGCCAGGCCTTCTCAGCGCCTCAGTCCCCTCCAGTGTCTATTCCTTGGTCAGGCCTGTCCTCTGTCCCATGGAGGCCCTTGGCTCTTCCTCAAGAGTTTATCCTGATTCCCAGTTCTGGTCAATTTGCCCTGGACTTGCTGGGGACATTAGTGCAGCCAACCTGTCCTGGGGCTGGGGAACGGCTCACCTTGTGTCTGATGTCCCCAGTCCACAGGCACTGAGGACCCGGGCCTTTGGGCTCCTCCTCCAGCCACTGGCGTGTGTCCTGAATGCCACCACTCAGGCCCCTGGACTCCCAGGTACGCTGATTGGAAAGGGTGGGAATGCAGAGGAGAGTGGCACGTGGGTCCCTGGGCAGGTCCCTGGGGTCAGCGTTGGGCTCCAGGGTACCCGGCTCACTGCCTCCTGTTCTGATCATACCTAGGCCGCTCACTAAGAGTGTAGGTGACCGGGGTGTGGGCCATCATCGCCGTTTGCCTACTGCTCTGACCTTGGGTCCTGGCCTCTGTCACTGGGCTGTGATTATGGGGTGTTAGTGACTGCTGTCGATGCCTGAGGGAGCCTCTCCTGGTTTTGCCTCCAGGCTTGCTGGATGGGCCTGTCGGGGGCGACTCCGCGGCAGTGGACACATTCCTGTCCTCCAAGGCAGCCTGCGTGGGCCTCCTGTGCCAGACCCTGGCGCACCTGGAGGAGCTGCAGCCACTGGTAGGTGTGGCCCAGCCTGCCTCGCCCAGATGGGCAGTGGGACCCCGGCCTCTCCTGACCCTTGCCTCCTTCCCTCAGCCCCAGCGCCTCTCACCCTGGCCCCAGGCACCCCTGCTTGGGGCTGTGGTGACAGTTCTGCAGCTCTGCAATGGTTCAGCA